GGCCTATGAATAGCAGCTGCTCGGTTTCGTTGAAATTCGCAACGTGCCCCTCGTGATCAATCCCCCGCCTGAAATAACGAGTTCCTGCGCGGTAGCGAGAACGCCTGCTAATCAAGCAGATCTTGATGTGATGTCCATTAAGGAATGATGGGCGAATGTCGAATGCTGCATAGGCTGTTAGCATACGGTCGGGATGTCTCATATTGCCTGGTTATACTTACTGCCATACATTATTGGCAGAATGTATGGGCTGATCTATAACAGACTCATTCAGCCGATATGCTTGCATCATTCTGGTATTGCCTACATCTGATTGACCATTTGAAGCTGCTTCAATCAGTCTTGTTTGTAAGAACCTGGGATTGACGGTGAACAAATGAACAAAATACAGTAGATTGCATAACATACTTGTTCCAAAAGAATCTGTCGTCTGCCTGGAGCAGATATAAGTCAGTTTTCGCCATGTATATCTGATGGACTCACAGTTTCCCATAATGCCTTGCCCTTGGCCCTATCCTGCGCAGCCCATTGTGCTTGCAAGCGCGTGGTTAAGTCCCAGCCATAACTGAGCAGGAGGAAGCTGCTCTTCAAATGAGATCGAATAAGCGCGAGTAAATGGCCTTCTACTGCATGTGGTGGGTGTTGTGCGGATATGTTGGGGTTTAAAGGTAGAATGTCGAACTCCGTAGCACGGTAGACCTCTTGGCCCATCAGCACACCTTGCTTCTCTCGTCCAGTAAGAACAATGATGTATTCCGCTGGATATGTTCATTCAATTTAGGCCAACAAGCCAAGGGGATATGACGCACAAAGAGACAGTGATATCAATCCAAGGATGCCATATACCGGTTTGTGGCCGCGCTCCGCAGATGAAGGTATTGACCAGCCTGGCCCTGTTATGCAGTTCAGTGCATGAACGAGAAATGCGCCAAGGAAACATTACTGTTGAGCTCAATTTCACTGGAAGTGCGGTAAATAGTCAGAGTTTGCCCTCCACTTGGGTCAGTGGGAATGAAATGGTATGCATCACGTTCTGTGTACCTGCAGCAGCCATTTAGTATGATCAGTTTCTATGTTTCGTTTGAGGACGCACAGTTCAAGGCGTTGGTGTAGGGACCTCATGGTGGTTGCCGGAGAGGGTGTAACGCGTCAACGTCGCGTTTTCGGACTTGCAAGACCCAGTGTTGCTTGCCCTAAAACAGCCATCATGGTCAAGCTCACTCCAGAGCTTCTGGGTCAAGTCCCCTCTGCACTGAATCCTATCAAGGAAAGACAGCTAGATCTCCGAGGTAAGTTATGATTCAGACATTCTTAATGTACTTACACAAACCGTCTACTAGGCTATAAAATACCCGTTATTGAAAACCTTGGTGTTACAAAGGTACGTCTTATCCCTCCCCGATTACTCTTTGCGATCTAATCATATACGAATCTGGAAGGATCAACATGATGCCATAGATCTCACCGATAACTCAATCGTCACACTGGGTAACTTTCCCTTGCTCAAACGACTACGAACACTCTTGCTGGCCAACAACCGAATATCTGCGATATCGCCATCTATCCATCTATCGGTGCCCAACCTGACCACCCTGATGCTCACGAATAACAACATCTCCGAGCTGGGCGACTTGGAGCCGTTAAAGGAGCTGAAGGGCTTGAAATACCTATCGCTCATGGGGAATCCCGTGCAGGAGAAAAAATGGTACCGCGAATGGCTTGCATGGAGACTGCCAGCGCTGAGAGTCATCGATTTCCAGAGAATACGAGACAAGGTGCGCATGACGGCCCACCGTCAACAAACTACACGAGATTTACTTGCGCCACACAGGAGCGGGAGACTGGCAAGACATTGTTCCTTACCGGAGAAGGACTGCCAACTGCGCTTGCAACGACTATCTCGACCACTGTCACCGCGACGTCAAAACTTGCTATCACCACGGATGAGCCCAGACCTGCAGCGTCTGCCTCAAAAGCTGGACGACTAATGTCCAAAGAAGACGCAGACAAGGTGAAAGCAGCAATCGCGAAGGCAACATCCGTAGAAGAAGTAAAAAGACTGGAGAGAAGTTTACGAGAAGGCTACATGCCCAGTCTGGATTCAGTAGGAGCATGAAGTTACATTGTCGTGTGATGCAATCCACTTCTTGCTCTCGTTAATGCAGTACAAACAGGGTAGCGGACATTCTCAAGATCATTGATCTGTATTGATTACAGATCGTTCCCACTCTCTCAATCCTCTCAATAGCCTCGGAGACCGACATTCCCAAGCCAGAGGCCATGGAACCCAAGGGCCAAAACAGCGGTCATGTTCGCCAGGGAAGAAATGCCGTGGAGACCACCAAACTTCTTGTTTAGTGCTTTCATCTCGTCAGAGATCTGGATGTAAATCAACATTTATGCATGTGCAAGAAGAACATGACGCTAACCCCAGCTTCATTGTATAGCTTGCCCTCCTCCTTTTCCAGCTTATGGCGTTGAAACATAATCCTAGAAGACCGATCAGAAAACATGCGACTGGTTAAGAAACCTGAGAGGCACACTTGCTAGTCAAAGGTCCCACTACAAAAAAGTTTGAGGATTGTGCCAATAAGACGGCAGCGAGTGCATATGCCTGGGCAACATCCGCGACATAAGGAGTGAAGATGTGGTGCAGGACGTCAGGGTGAGTCCACGTCCAAAATCCAAGCATGCCCGAAGACAAAGCCATCGAGAGCACAAAGTAGATGGGAAATGTCTTATGTTGGAGAGCGCCAAACATATGGCGAGGTAGGGCCTTGTATGCGATCACACCCTGTAGCGCAACGATATAAGCATTTTAGACCCTACAATGTGCACTTGAGCTGCAATCACCCCAAAGAAGGTAACCCATAACGCTAAGGATAACCAATTAAGCTGAAGATCATAAAGGCCTGCCAAATTTCGGCGACAAGTTACGCACACATGCCAAACAACCAACTGTATGCAAGAGCATATGCGCCTTGAATAGAGAAGAGACTGAGCAAAGAGGTGAATGTGAGGATTTCAACTTTGGCCATAGTGAATGTACTGGAAAGGGAGAAGCAGATTATCAAATGGTGTCGCCAGTTGCAGGAGTGGTATCGGCCGTTGCAGGGCGGGTGATTTAAGTACGTCATCTGTCGACACATGTTTATTCTATGCTCGTGGCGAAAAATACGAATGTGAAAATATAGTCCCAAAGTACACACTTAGTTATTGCGATCCCAGTCACCGGGCATACCATGTCTACCACCTGGTCCCCCTCTTCTTCTGGGCCCTCCCCCCTGCCCACGATCCTCGCGACCACTACCGATTATTACAACGTGCTTGTCGACAAGCTGGGGGCAATGTTATGAATGCCAGCTGGGTTCATGAAGATCACATACATCGTTTAGAATATTGGTAGACTTTGTAAGGGTTGAAAGAAAAGCAGTCAGTTGAACATCCTCGTACTCCTGAAGACAATCATCAGTCGGTTCTAGCTCATCAAGTTGACTAGAGTCTTCCCACCTGATCAAATTCTTCTCGAAACGATTTGTTTTCATTTGCTGGCAAGGATGCGATCAGAGCAGAGAGAGATCGAAGTGTGGCATGATCCGGCTTGGTTTGGCCTTTCCACTAATCAGAGACGCTTAACGAGATATAAAACCATGCACTTACCTGCAATAACTTCTGTGACATATTGTACGAGGACCAGGATTCTTTCATGTAACATCTTGATGGCGGCTCGTTGTGTTTGCAAATGAGATTCTACTAGTATGTTTTCAGTCGGGTGAATACTCAGTTCAGTGGCCGACTCACAGCTGGTTCCGCCTCCGCCTCCTCGCGCGGTCCAGTCCACAGCGATACGCTCCGCTTCGCCTGTTTCTACATTGTACGCTGCCTCGACAAATACGGATCGTGATTTTCGATCGCGAATTTCGATTGTTGGTTCATAAGCCTTGAAAGGGAGGGTTTGAGCACCAACGGACGAGGTGATCAGTCCTGCAGAAGGCTGGAGAAGAAGGAGAAGGGGTGTCGTATGGTAATTCACGAACTGATAAAGCTTAGTTTGGGTTGATAAGGCAAAATAAGGTCCCTACCTGCTCGTGTAGCGCGATATGGCTTGCCGTTGGTCGTGGTGCAACACTATACCAACCAATAAATTCAAGAGAGGGAAACACCTGCTTATCTGTGGCGTCTCGGATCAGAAACGAGCGCGAGCGAGTGAGACATGATGCATACACTGGTCTCTTCTGGATACCAAGAATCCATGATCCACCTTCTCTCCTTCACCCTCCTCGATTGCTAATTCGAATGTGTTGACGATCTCAACTTCACGGCCGTTTTGTGTACCCAAAAGCGCGCCTAGAACTAGAGCGGTGAAGCTTTAGATACATGTGATGAGATGTTCCAATCGATGTACCAAATGGCGCATTTGTGTTCTTTTGAAGCTTTAACCGGGTGAGATGCTCCGAGATATTGAGGATCGGTAAGGGATGGCTACACCGTTGATTAGAATTAGCGCACAGTCGATGTGAATTGACTCACAGTGACAATGAAAGACCAGAAACAGTATGTGAGGGTAGCACAACAGGCAAGTCGTCAGTGTCCATCGCGCTCATGGTGGCTGTTCGAGGGCAATGAAGGACCGGAATCAGTACTAGTGGCGCCCATGCCTAACTGAAGATCAACAATCTGCCGCAAATGCTACACAATATAGATATCGGTGAATGTCATTCCAACCCCCCTTGCGTTATATTCGTATGACCGCGATCAAGGCCCAATATTTTCTACCCTGGCGACCTTGTAATATTTGTGATGAGTCCACAGAGCTCACATGTTACATAACAAAAACAGTTGGCTTTTACCGCGTCAAATTGCGATAACCATCACCGATATATCATCAATACTTGTACAATAATAATGATTCATGACTCGCATTCTTATCAATCCTTAATTTGAAGCGAGGCCAGAGCTCGAGCTTAGCATTTAGCATAGGCTTAAAAAACAAAAGTTATAGCCCACCGCGAGGGTCGAACTCGCAGCCTTCAGATGCCTATTAGGCGACATGAGGATGAACCCGCCGTCAGTCCGTAAAAGTCTGACGCTCTATCCGATTGAGCTAGGCGGGCTTGTATAGAGGCTCGTAAAGGTTTTATATATCAATCTCCACACCTCAGCGAATTTGCCGCCACTCTCCAAGTCGTGCCAAAACACAGTTTAGCATTATTTATCGTCGTTTCAGCTAGGGATCTGACCATGTAGTGCTCGAAATATGGCATGAAATTACACTTACAGGTGTTGTAGACTGTGGCATATGTTGAAGCCTCAGGACATGAAAGTTGGACAACAACCAGTGGAGTTATATAAGTGCCGAGCGATAGGTATACGACACATGTCACAGTGTGACAGTGGCGAGATTCACCACCCAGCAACATATGGATAGGTATGCATGGAAATTTATTCGAGAGTAATTCAGACGCGTCACTTTCGTGACAGACGTCAGAGTCTTAGCAGGTTAGAACACGTTGAACCAGACACGACTTATTATTGCTTAGGTCTTCATATTCGGCGCCTGATTCACCGCGAAGGAACTCTGACAGGAGGCAGGAAAGATATTTATATTGATACAAACAACCAGAGAAACAAAGACAGCAAATAAGACAACATGATAGGCACAATCAAACACCAACCCTGTGAACCACTTTTTTCTGGACCATTATTGTTCAGGCTATTTCACAGGAATTATTCACTTGTAATGCTCACCTGGCCAGAGAATCGAATAATCTCTCTTTTCTCAAGGATGAACAGTGTCCGCTCCAAAGCATGGCTTGAATACTGCTGCTGTGTGACAAACTCGCGCACCAAGCTCTGGTAGCTTGTGCTCCATCCAACAGGCAACCGCCTCCGAAGTTCCTTTTCGATACGCGTCATCTCTTCGTTGAGCTCACCGCGCGAGAGACCGTCTGCAGAGCCTGCAGAAACAGCATCCATTGTGGAAAACTTGAACAATCGTATAGCTTCGTCAACATGATGTGTCTTGACCACTGGCGTAAGGGTCATCTTGGCAAGTGATTCTGAAATCCGGATTATAGCCTCCAATTGCCTAATATTTTCGCGTTAGTGTGTATTAAGAAATACAGAAGCCCTACTTGCCGGACGGTGATGGGGATGGAGCTCCTCTCGTCATTATCTCGCTCGACTTGTTGAACTTGCTTCCGCAGGCTCACAAAATGACTGCTCAACATCTCCTGCGCTTCAGGAGAGAGTCTAGGCGCGCATTTGCTAAACCGGATTTTAGATGTGTTTGGGCGATAAAAGTCATTGGTGATAATACCCTTTGCAATATGCGATGAAGCGTTTCATCTTGTCAATATCAATTTCGCCTACAGCTTCACCGTTCTCGCCGAGGCTGACATTCGGCCTGTTCATGTGTATATTCATGACATGCTTTGCAATCATCTATGCCACGAGCGTAAGTAGCTGCGTCTGGCGAGCTGAAAGTAGACAAACCTTATCTCTAGCTTCGTTGTGCTCATCCTTGACGATGAAGATCATGTCAAACCGAGACAAAATCGTCGTCTGAAAATCGATGTTCTGACCTACAGCCTCAGCATAGCGAAGTGTTAATGGATGCCAATGTGAACCTACCTCGCCAGGGCTTCTGCCTTCGTCGTATCGGCCCCACACCGGATTTGCTGCTGCCAGAACGCTTGTCCTAGAGTTAAGTACGGTGGTGATTCCGGCTTTAGCAATAGATATCGTTTGCTGCTCCATGGCTTCATGGATCGCTACGCGGTCCTCGTCGCGCATCTTGTCAAACTCGTCGATGCACACTACACCCGTGTCTGCGAGGACCATAGCACCACCTTCCAAATAGAATTCCCGCTATTCAGAAAGATCTAAGTAAATCTACTTTGGTAGAATCAAGAAATCATACCGATACGGCATCCCGCTGAACTGAGGCTGTTAAGCCAGCGGCGCTGGAGCCTTTGCCAGATGTATATACGGATATGGGGGCAACCTAACAATCAAAAGCAAATAAGCTGCAGATCGAACTCGTGATCAATACATATTGACCTTTTCAACAAACTTAAGAAGTTGACTCTTGGCCGTGCCCGGATCGCCGAGCAACAAAACATTGATATCGCCTCGTAATCTCATTCCGTCAGGCAAGACCTTCTTGGAGCCGCCGAAAAGTAAGCAAGTGATGGCCTTCTTAATGTCTGCAAAGGAATCAGCGAGTCGCATATATCGCGGAGAAGATGTATACCGAGACTCCCGTAAATACTGGGTCCTACGCTCTTCGCAAAACGTTCGTAGAAGCCTTCACTCCGTGCCATCTCACCAAACTCTTCCTCCTCCTCGGGGGTAAATTGGACGCCAAAAGGATTGGACCCTGCGCCATTACCAGCCGACCCGGATAATTCGAGATGTATGAGACGGAGATATGGCTGACGAAGGGCGGCAGGTCCTGCACTTTTCTTCGATTTCTCTATATTAGGATGACTTTTATTCAAATTGAATAAGACAACTGACATTCTTTGCAGATTGGAAAGTCGAATATATCCCAGTGGCGATGACCCTCGACCCGGGGACCACCTTGCCAGTCAAATATCGATCGGCTGACAGGAGCATGTGTCGTGGAAGTTCTCCGACTGGGACCATATCGGGCGCTTCCTGAAGCTTGAGAGTTTGTTGATCCACGAAAGACGACTTGGAGTGAAGAATGATGTAAGGGTCCATTGGACAGTCCTTCTTCTGGCCCTCTGGTTCGGGTGCGTCGCATACTCTCGGCAATCCTCGGTCTGATCCACTTCCAAGTCCACCCATACCACCAGGAGGATATATCATCTTGGTTGATTTGCACGCACGGCATTGCAAATGGAGTTTGGTGGATCGCGACGAGAGAACAGAGGCTGAAATGACAATCCCTGGTACACGGACCAATTTGTTCATCCAGTTGGCAGTAAGATCGCGGAACTGGCGCATGTTGAGCCCTGATTTGAGAGTTACTTGAATCTTGGTCATCGACGCCAGGGTAGTTTCGATTCCCTTTTCGCCAGCAGACCCCGCCAATGGGAAGAGAATGGTGCGAGCGGCCTTCGTCGCTGCATTCTCAAACTAACGCGGCTGTTAAAGATGACCCATAGGATAGAAACTCGAAAGAGCGCACGAGGGGCAGCACTTCAGCTGGTCTGTCTTGTATCGCATGCGCCAACTCGTCATTGTAGAGCCCGACGTGACGCAGATCCACCTCGAGCTGATGTTGCTTCAGAAGCAAATTCCCTCGCAGCATATCTCTGCATGCAAGAATTAGCTGCAGTGTCACATGCCTTAACAATTTGTAACACGCACCTGTAGATAAATTCTCCTCCGACGCGATACTGCAACAAGAAGTCTAACAGGAGCTTCTCCGTTTCTGAGGGGGAGTCGGGGGAGGTGGCCGCCTGGGGAGTGTGTACATTAACATTGTACAAGTGATCTTGATCGAAGCCAGACATTTTTGGTACAAAAGTACTAGCGGTTGGGACGAGTGATCAGTGGAAGTCACAGTAAAGGCTCTGCAGATTGGACTGGGCAGGCAAGTTTGCTTTAGGGCTGGTCAGACCGCGACCCGGCATCTGTATTGATGCCTCCGGAATCCGATGCCAAAGTTGAAGTTTCTATGTACACTGGCATTCTGAACACGTTTACGTATACCCTACTGCATACCTCCTCGCTCGGATATCGTTACAGATTAGGCTCCTCGTGATCATTGAAATAATTTCTGCACATGACATTGTGGAAGTCTTGAGCATGTGTTTGCAAGCCCAGAACCACTGACTCTGAGTGCCGCTCGCATCATGTATATCTCTGCAGTCTGCGCCTTGCCTCAAAAATTGCGTACCAGCCACAGTAAAATATGACGGCATGATAATTTTTGCCTTTCCCGAGCTTCCCCCGCAGCATGTCGGAGAGCTGCGCCCTCTAATTGCGGGGATTATCTACCATGTGCTACCATAATACAATTAAGCTATTTACCCGATGGCTGCTGCGGATAGAATGAGCAGGCAGGAACAAAATGTGATTGAAGGAGACGCAGGTATTTGGTTGGACGTCCTGCTTCTACAAACGTATAATTGATTGAGTTCGTACGGTGCTGCGGTTTTGGCGCTTGCAGTGCTGCGCACTGGTGGCGCTTGGGACTCGCAAGGTCGTGATAGATGTGTTATATCAGTGTCTGTATCGTACGATAAATTCAGAACAGCTGTTTAGACGAACAGATATGTATGTTCCGCAGTCTTGCGCAGTAGAAAGAAAGCTGGCGGTTGCGCGAACTTGAACCTGATTGACACCATCATGATTCTCTAAACACCTCTCGCGTAGCTCCAGATTACAATGCAATCTAAATTCTTATTCCGTTCGATATTCATGAGTTATTCTTTGCCTGCTAGTTACGCTTCTTAGCACCCATATGATCATAACAGCTGAGATGTCGCGTTTCCTGTAATGCAATTCTTCAAAGAAATCTGGGTAGTGAACTACTGTCTGAATGAAGATTGGCACCGGCGCAGCTACTCGAATGTCAGGCTGCGCAGTGCCTGATATACGCACCTGAGGCATTTAGTTGGCCTCCGACGCATCACTCAACGGCAGACTCTGGCAGAATTCGGAGAAATGCCTAGTTGCGCAGTTAATGGGCCCTCGGTCCCGGGTCTCGCGATGTAGCTTCAATCACAATGGCACCGTCACCCAGGATTATCGGGGCGCACCGCAGCCTGTCACATTAAATGTATAACCACTCAATGATATTGCAATGATTATGATTGGAGCGGCGATACGCAGCAGTCTATGTCCACGCAGTCCGACTGCCTTGCTGATCTCGGCAGGCTCGGAATGTGACCACTGAGCGAACAATCTGCCGGCGGAGGATCGTCCACGAGAGCATCTACAGAGACGGTGTCATGCCGGCACAGTCTAACTCTCCAAGAAACAGGCTCTCAGATGCAAGGTGATTCTTCTCTTTGTGCGCGCTTACTGAGCGTGTACCAAGAAGGATCGATTCGCCCGCGAGATTCTCCAGTGGCGCGAGCACCGTTGAGTTTGTTCCACATGGCTTGGGCGCGTTTACAGCAAGTCATCGACCGTT